AGGATTGAGGGTGTCTAATATGCAACAAAATCTAATTCTAGTCCAGAATCTGCTGCCTCGAAATGTTTGCCTCTCATCAATCTTCAAACTGACACATTAATATCATTTTCAAGCTGTTTCTCTGATATGACTTGACAGTACATAATGTTATAAATACTAAAAGGCTTTGGTCTTCTTAGAGGAAAAAGATCATGTCAATTTAAAGCATTATTATTTTACCATAAACTGTTTTTTAACCTGTTATTATTTTGAAGAGAACATGTTTCTAAAGAAATGTAGAATCTCTTCACATTTAATTTTCAAATCTATGCACTTGAGAAAAGTCTAATGAAATCCTTAATGACTTTTTTGATATAGATATATATATATACTATAGCTGAATCACCTTACCACGATCAGTTATGGCTAAATTTAACTACATACTTAGTTCAGCTCATGTTAAAGCCATTTGTAGTACAAGACACAGTAATCTAGACATGGTGTAACCATCTTTTTACCTCCTGCAGATGAAGGCAGCCACCTCATATTCTTTCACTCCTGAGAGAACATTGTAAGCACTAACTATATCATAATAAAGCCAGCCTGCTCATCCACAAAGAAAAAAAAAAGTAACAAACATAGATAATTACCCACTGGCCTGCAGAGGGAAATTATAGGACTCCTGTACCTTAACAGGAATATAGCTCCTAATTATCTCAAAAGCCTAAATTTATACAATCAGAAACAGTTACCAATCAAAGAGATTACACAAAATGGTAAAACCTTAGATTGCTGAATTGTAAAAGAGATAAAAAGAAATTTAATATTGCTTAAAAATAGCACAGGAAACAAGACTATTCATCTGATTCTGCATCAGGTCTTTAGTCCTTAGTCTCGCTATCCTGGTAACACACGTCCTGACTACAAGCAGATTTCTTCAATACTTTTTACAACAATCTCTTTTAGAAAGCACTCATCTGAGAGTTTAACTGGTGTTGTGTCTTTTCTTTCATGTCCCAAGCTGGTATTAACAGTCACTTTCTTCCCTGATTCATACTTTTTTTTTTAAGTTCCACATAGTGAAAGACTTGTTCTTTAAAAGAATATAAACTAGGCTCAATTCACCTGGAGCAGCAGAGAAAGGAGAGTTAGGAATAGGAGGAGGAAATGGAATGTATGGCTAATTGCCTCCATGAACAACGTGTCTCCTTTGGCATGAGACTAGAAGAACTTGATGATGCCCGGCTACCATTACTGAACATTTTGATCAAAGATTCTATAGAAGAATCCTGATCAAAAGGGGAAAAATGCAGAACAGAACTTCAAATTGTCATGTAATCCAGAATTTCTGGAGCCATGGAGGCTGGATGAATCCCTGAAACAATTGCCCTAAGATAATCTTTAAACATTAAACCAAAAATATCCCCTGAAGTCTTCTTAAAACCAAACAATAGTTTAGTTTAACTAGTAAAGAATGCCTGCCTTGAGCATTTTGCTTTTTTAAGATCTATCTGCATGGGATCAAACTGACAACAGCACCTTGAAAGATTAGACAGAAAACATAGGAAGCGATGAGTTTATGTTAATGGGGGAGGAACAACTCAGCAAAGGAGGGTGAAAATAGTTGCATAACTTAAAGAATGTGATCAATGTGACTGAACTGTACATGTAGAAACTGTTGAATTGCTGTATGTTTTGCTTTGTATATTCTCAACAACAACAATAAAGGCATTGGCAAAAAACAAAGCTCCAGGAATTGACATAATACCAACTGAGATGTTTCAACAAACGGATGCAGCACTGGAAGTGCTCACTCGTCTATACCAAGAAATTCGGAAGACAGCTACCTGGCCAACCGACTGGAAGATATCCATATTTATGCCTATTGCAGAGAAAGGTGATCCAACTGAATGCAGAAATTATCAAATAATATCATTAATATCACATGCAAGTAAAATTTTATTGAAGATCATTCACAAGTGGCTGCAGCAGTACATCCACAGGGAACTGCCAGAAATTCAAGCTGGATTCAGAAGAGTACTTGGAACCAGGGATATCACTGCTGATATCAGATAGATCCTGGCTGAAAGCAGAGTATACCAGAGAGATGTTTACTTGTGTTTTACCGACTATGCAAAGGCATTCGACTGTGTGGATCATAACAAATTATGGATAACATTGGGAAGCATGGGGATTCCAGAACACCTAATTGTGTTCACGAGCAGCCTGTACCTAGATCAAGAGACAGTCCTTTCAACAGAACAAAGGGATACTGCGTGATTTAAAGTCAGGAAAGGTGTGCGTCAGGGTTGTATCCCTTCACCATTACTATTCAATCTGTATGCTGAGCAAATAATCCAAGAAGCTGGACTATACGAAGAGGAATGGGGCATCAGGATTGGAGGAAGACTCATTAACAACCTGTGTTATGCAGATGACACAACCTTGCTTGCTGAAAGTGAAGGTGAACTGAGGCACTTACTGATGAGGATGAAAGACCACAGCCTTCAGTATGGATTACTTCTCAACATAAAGAATAGAGAAGTCCTGACAGCTAGACCAGTAAGCAACATCATGATAAACAGAGAAAAGAATGAAATTGTCAACGATTTCGTTTTACTTGGATCCACAACAACACCCACGGAAGCAGCAGTCAAGAAACTAAAGGATGCATTTTATTGGGCAAATTTGCTGCAAAAGACCTCTTTAAAGTGTTAAAAAGCAAAGATGTCACCTTGAACACTAAGGTGGGCCTGACCCAAGCCATGGTGTTTTCAGTTGCCTTGTATGTATGCGAAAGCTGGACAATGAATAAGGAAGAACAAAGAATTGACACCTTTGAATTGTGGTGTTGGTGAAAAATACTGAATATACCATGGACTGCCAAAAAAACAAACAAATCTATCTTGGAAGAAGTACAACCAGAATGCTCCTTAGAAAGAAGGATGGTGAGACTACATCTCACATACTTTGGACATGTTATCAGGAGGGACCAGTCCCTGCAGAAGGACATTACGGTTGGTAAAGTAGAGGGTCAGCAAAAAAGAGGAAGACATTCAAAGAAGTTGATTGACCCAGTGGCTGCAATAATAGGCAGAAGCATAACAATGATTGTAAGGATGGCACAGGACTGGGCAGTGTTTCGTTCTATTGTACATACGGTCGCTATGAGTTGGAATCAACTCAACGGCACCTAACAACAACAACAACAATACACACTACAAACGAACTTTCGACACTGCCTGAGAATTTCATTGTGCTTCTTTCATAAAATTCACTTTACCAGTCAGTGATACGTCTACAGTGCTCCTTCTCCTGTCTCTCTAAACTTCCTACTCCTCAAATCCATCCCATTTCCTATATCATTTCCACTGGTGAACAAATCTTTGAAATAGAAGCTTTTCTAATGGGAGTATCTTCAGCCTCCTATCACCTAATCCATAAATCTATGTATATCTGTACTCATTTTCTTCTTTATCCTGTAACAAGGAAGTTTTCCTACTCTTTTAAAGCTTGGTCGCTTCATAACCGATACTATCCTATCCTCTCTTCTCAATAATTTCAGATCTTGTTTTAACTCCTCCTTATTCTGCATTATTCATCTCTTCGACTCTACTGGCTCATTCCTAACAGCAAGCAAACATGTTCTAGTACCTCCCATTTATTAGAAAACAAGGACAATATAGCATCTTTCTCTATTCATATTTTCAGCTACAGCTCCATTCCCTACTCCTCTTCAGACCCAAACCGCCTGTCAAAGATTTGTTTACACCCCTGTCTCTACTTTCTCATCCTCTTTTCACTCCTTAACTGACTTTAGTTTGATGTCCATCCCCACTACTCTGTTGAAACTGCTCTTGTCAATATTGCCAATCTTTATATTGTTGAACTCAGTAGACACATTTTGCACTCATCTTATTTGACTTTTTGGTAGCATCTGATAGAACTGACCATGCCATCTTTCTTAAAGCAATATCAGTTGGGACAGAAGACGGCACTCATTCCTGCCTCTCCCCTTCCCTATCCAATTGCTTCCAGTGGAATCTTCTTAGCTTAATATTTTTTTTTTATCCAAAGCCTCAATGTTTGTGTGTAGACCTACTCAGGGTTCAGGCTCAAAGAGCCCATTTGTCAATTTTATGGTTTACATTCTGTCATTCCCACTACGTTGAATCATCCATTCAAGTGGATTTAAATACTACTTTTATGCATATAATTCCAAGTTTTTAATCTCAAACTCAGATCTCTTCTCTTCAGACTTACATATTTTACTGCCCACTTAGTATTTTCATTTAGATATTTCACAAAATAATGAAAGAAGGGAGTAACTTTTGCATATCATTTCTTTTGTGTAACCAGTAACAAGTGGAGGGAGGTTAGTATTTCTAGGATTCAAGAAAATGTAGTAGAACTTTGTAGTTTATCAGGTCTTGGGATTGAATTTTGTTATTTCAGTGTTGCTTTTCCCTTTTGTTATAATTTCAGTGGAAACTGAATCAATGCACGTGCAAATGGCTGTAATCGCAAAGGAAATGTAAATGAAGAGCTATTATCACTCAAACTAGAAGTCTAGAGTAAGCCTCTCTTAGTCTGACTGCAAAACTCCACTTCTCAAATATTCACAACTTTTCCATCTTGCTATATTTTTTATTGCACATGATTAGTTACAGAAATAGAAAAGAATTGTGGAAACTATAAGTTGAATAGACCTTATAGCCACCTAAGAGTCAGCTGCAACACTACATCAACAAATCTAGCTCCCTGCCTCCTTTTAAGGATAGCCAATGAAGGGACTCTCTGGTTCCTTCCAGGACAGGTGAGGACTGAATTCCCAAACATCACCCAAAGGACTGCAGTAGGTACAAATACAAGTTCTATGTTTTCTGGATTATTCCTAGATTGGTGAGAGCTCTGAAAGGAAACATATACTCTCCTAAGTCAAACCGATGGCATTAAAGAGACTTTTCCTCCATAGGATGTAAAAATGTTTCATAATCACTTGGCAATTTCCGTGTACTTACCAGGCACATAGGGTGGGTTGTTTAGATTGTTCTTTGCACATCCGGGCTGCTGCCCCGTTGCAAAATTGGATGGTTCATTCATATCCTTACATAAAAAATAGTAACTCAATGAGTAATAAAGGACCTAGTTTTCTTACTTCCCATTGTGGGAAAACAGTACAAAACAAAGATCATTCACTCATTCAACAGTTTTTTGAATATACAAATGTATGAGATGGCAAATTCAGAGCTTAGCAATAAGCAAGACAGTGTCTCTGGTCTCAAAGAGCATATAATGACAAATCAGCAAGGTTCACAAATATGTAAATGTCACAGAACAGGACTAGATATCATCCATTTCAGTAAATATCAATTCCATTTTTCCCATAGTTGTGGACACAAATCATTCTTAATTTATTTCTCTTGTAGCTTACCTCTAAGTCATCAACCAATCCTGTCAACTCTACCTTCAATATAAATGTAGAATATGATCAGGTCTCATCCACACCATTGCCACTATCCCAAGCTACACCACCATTGTCTCTTGCCTGAATTGTTGCAATGGCTTCCTACTAACTGCTCTCCTTCTTCCACAGGAGTCCAGAAGTGGATTTATCTGTAAGCTAAAGAAACTTAAGTTTTGCTACCCCCTTTTGCATGACCCCTTCATACTTTTATACCTGATTTTCTATTTGTAATTTTTTAATATTTTTTCTAGAGGGAGCTACCCAAATTGTATAATGCTCCATATTACCTGAGTTTGCCCTGGCTTTCACACTGCTTTTGGCTTTCTAATAGTCTATTCTCAATATAGCAGCCAGAGTGATCCATTTAATATCTCTGCTTAAAATCCTCCAGTGCTTCCTCATCTGTCTGAAAGCCAAAGACCTTGCAACTGGCTCATGATGATTTTTGTGACATTGCCTCAATACTCCTTTGACTTTTTCTTTTACTATTGCCCACCCCGTCCTACCCCACACCTGCAGTCACTCTGTTCTAGCACACTAGCCTCCTTGACGTTCCTGGAAAATATCAGGCACGTTTCTGCTTTGAAGCTTTTGTACTTGCTGTTTGCCCCGCCTATATGATTTCCCTCTAGATATGCCCATGGCTCCGCCTCTCACCTTTGTTATCAATTACCATCTTCACTGAGCATACTATTTAAATTCCAAGCCTACTTAAATTTTCTGTTTACTATCTAGCTTCCCAGATGAATTTTTCTCCTTGGCAGTAATTATTATCCAACATAGTCTATGTTTTACTTTTTTATATTGTTTGTTGTTTCTATCTCCCACTAGAATATCAGCTCCATAAAGGAAACAATTTTTCTAAGTGTGTCTCCAATGCCTCCTGGCACAGAGTAGGCACTCAATAAATGCTTGTTTCTGAAATAAGAGAGAGGAAGGATTATTTCTATTAAGAGTACCAGTGAAGACTTCATGGAGAATTTGGTACGGAGACTGCGTGTTGATGCGCTTATAGAATTTGAACATGTAGAAATGAGGAGAGATGGGAAAGAAAGCATGCAAAGGCATAGAAACAGCGAACTATGCTGCAGGTGGAAAAATACGCCCCTCTTTTGAGTAGCAGGAGTCCTCTATAATGTTCACATAATCTTTAGCCCACAAGATTCTGTTTGCAAGTATTTCTCTGGAAGAGTGGGGCCTAGGCACATAACTGGCTGTTGTCTCAATCGAACTGGGTTAGCCCCTTCCTTGGGTCTGTCTGCTCTGCACTCTTACATGGGCTAGTGTCACTACCTGAAACACTTGCACTCACACCCCGCTTCATTTAGCTAACTGATCATTTCTCTTTTTACCTATCACCTCTACTGGTGTTCAACTGACCTGAATTCAATGCTCCTGACCAGTGTTCCCATTGCTTCCAGCACTTGCCCTATCATGGCCATACAATAGCTTGTTTGTCTACCTCCCTCACCAACTGTTGCCTCCCCAGTGTCGTGCACAGAGTAGGGATAAACAAGGATGCCTGCATAAACAAGCCACATTCAGAGTAAGATGAAGCAATGGCCCAGCTGGCAAACGCAGTTGCTGCCAATCTTGGAGGAAATAGTTCTCCCCTCCAGTGGTGCATTAGAGGAGTTGAAGTAGAGAATTTAAAGAAGACAGGGAAGAAAAATTTTCACGTTCTATGTCTCGCTATAAAGCTGAAGAAGAGACAAGTGAAAGATCATTTCACTTTTTCACTAGGAAAAAAAAAGTTTTTTAAATAACAAATTTAGGCTTACAATCCAGATCCCATCATAATCAATGATGTTCTTAAATTCCATGCACATCTGGATCCACCATTCCGTCGTTAGGGGGTTGGTATAGTCTGGAAATACTGACCCTCCTGGGGGCCAGGCCTATGATGGATAAAGAAGTCAATCAAAATAATGCACATAACATGATATGGCATACAACCCTCTATAGTTGGGCTTTATTTTGCATTCTGAGTCATACAAATAAAAATCAAGGCTTGGTGAAGTTAAATAACTTAACCAAGCACATAGTACAAGGAAAAAACAGGTGAGTGGTACAAGGCAAAGAGAATCCCACATCCCAGTCCAATGCTGGGCCAATAATAAAATCATGCATGCAATCATATTTTCTTATTATGCCATTATAATTTTAGCCATTCTTCTCCACACATTAATTCATATCATACAGATACAGAGATTAGGAAATGTAAAACTTATATTTACAATAACAACAAAACAATAATATACTTACGGTCTCAACAAGAGCTGTAAGAATGATATAATGAAAACTATAGAATGTTCATGAAGTATACACAAGAATGCATAAATTGAGAAATATAGAATGTTTCTGGATAGGAAAAGTTCAATGCTATATGTATGTTAAGTCTCTAAACAGTTCTATAAATTTAAATCAATTCCAACTCAAATTCTATGGTGATGATTTGTAACTTGATTCTGTATTTCATGTGGACATATAAATGAGAGGCAATGGTTAAGAATTTTAGAAAAATAAAAAGCCTAAATAAACATACTCTAAGGTCCTATTAAGTAAAGCAATACTAGATACAGGAATCGATAAACACAGAAACGCAACGCAACTGGGAGATAAACAGATACATGACTATGTAGGAATTTAGTGAATGATAAAGATGGTATTTCAAAGCAATAGGAAAATGCTGAATTATTCAACAGGTGATATTTGACCCATTATCTATACATTTGGAAAAATTAAATTATATTCTTATCGTATATCATACACAAAAATAAACCAAATTAAAAGGTTTAAATGTGATTTAAATATTTAAAAGACTTAAAAATTCTCTAAGGATATGTAGGAGTCTGTTTTTACACATTTGAGTTAAGAAACGCCTTTTGAAGGATGTAAAATATGACATCAAAGACAGAAACCAAAAAGAAAAAGAAAAAAAAGACAGCTTTGACTACAAAATAATTTAAACTATTCAGCAAAAGACACAATAAACAGGTTAAAAGACAAACAGTCTAGGAAACTTTTGGAATCACATACAGAAGACAATAAATATCTTATGAATCAATAAGAAAAAGGCAAAATCCTCAATAAGAAAATGGCAAAGAATATTTACTGATTTTTCACAAAGAAAAAGAAGTAGCAAAGAAAAGTTATAAACAAGATGATTAGCCTCACAAACAATGAAAGAACTGAAATAAAAAAAAATATATATTATTAGCTTTTTGCTTGCCCTGTGTTGGTGAATGTGTAAATAAGCAGGTACTGTTATGACTGTTGGAGTCCCTGCGTGGTTAACACACTTGGCTACTAACCAAAAGGTTGGTGGTTCAAGTTCACCCAGAGGGGCTTCTGAAAGATAAGCCATTGAAAACATGATGGAGCACAGTTATACTCTGACACATATGGGATCGCCATGAGTCAGAACAGACTCTATGGCAGCTGATTTCGGTTATGTCTGTTGCTAAGTCTGTAAATTGATACAACTGGAAAATACATATAGAAATTTGTGATGGGAGTTTTATAGCTCCATGTTGGCTCCACCTCTGTGATGGGAATTTTAGATGTGACAATTCCATTTTAATAAATTTAATATATGGAAATAACAAGACAAACTATGTACAACACCTAGGTACTAACATGTTTACTGCAGCATTGTTTATAGTATTAAAATACTAGAAACAAGAAAATATCCATCATTATGGATAGCTTAAATTAATTTTCCCACATAGAACAGTAGAATATTGCACCACTATTAAAGAAGATAATTTCATATATATTAACAAGGAAAGATATCTACAAAATTTTGTCATAGTTTAAAAAAGGTTTAAACCATATACACCCACTCCTTACTTATGGACATGGTTAGGTTCCAAAGACCAGGTCATTCCAAAACTGTGTTATGCGAATACTCGTGACTTCCTGCCCCAGCCTCCGGTCCTCCCTGGCCCCAACCCTCCCAGCGTGGCGGCTGCGGCCCTTGGTACTTGGGACAGTCACAGGCTCGCTGGAATCTGAATCAATGCTGTGGGCTGCTGGCCGGGGGATGCGGGCTGGGCGGCGCGAGGCGGCCCAGAGGCCAGCACCGCCCGCCACCCCCGCCCTGCCACAACTGGCTGGTGCCTGCATGTGAGGCAAACACAGGGCAAAGGGTGGGGTACACCCGGAGAGAGCCCGGAATAGGAAGGGGAGGCAACAGCCTGTCGGAGCCTGAGCCTAGGGCGCCCCGCGGGTTGCAGACTAGATTTAAATACCCTAGGGGCAGTGCCTCTGCTCCCTCTGCCGCCCCGGAGACCTGCTCACAGGGAAGATAATGCGGGTCAGAGGGAGTGTTAATGAGCTAAAGTCTGATAGTAGATTTTTTAGTACTGTCGTAAATGTGAAATGTCAGATAACAAGATAATCAATAAGTGAGGAGTAGGTGTATAGTGTATATACCCATTTACGTAAAAATATGATTTGTTGCTGTTGTTAGGTGCTCCTTAGTCCTTAAAGTAACATCTTTCTTTTTCAACACTTTAAAGCGGTCTTTTGCAGCAGATTTGCCAGATGCAATGCATTCTTTGGTTTCTTGACTGCTGCTTCCATGGGTGTTGATGGTGGGTCCAAGTAAATGAAATCCTTGAAAACTTCAATCTTTTCTCCGTTTATCATGATGTTTATTGGTCCAGTCGCGAAGATTTTTGTTTTCTTTAACGTGAGGTGTAATCCATACTGAAGGTTGTATTCTTGGATCTTCATCAGCAAGTGCTTCAAGTCTTTTTCTCTTGCAGCAAGCAAAGTTGTGTCATCTGCATAAAGCAGGTTGTTAATGAATCTTCCTCCAATCCTTATGCCCTGTTCTTCTTCATTTAGTTCACCTTCTCAGATTATTTGCTCAGTATACAGATGGAATAAGTATGGTGGAAGGATTCAACTCTGATATACACCTTTCTTGACTTTAAACCACACAGTATCCTCTTGTTCTGTTCCATCGACTACCTCTTGATCTATGTACAGGTTCCTCATGAGCACAATTAAGTGTTCTGGAATTACCATTCTTCACAATGTTATCCATAATTTGTTATGATCCACACAGTTGAAAGCCTTTGCATACTCAATAAAACACAAGTAAACATCTTTCTGGTAGTCTCTGCTTTCAGCCAGGATCCATCTGGCATCAGCAATGATATCCCTGTTTCCACATCCTCTTCTGAATACAGCTTGAATTTCTGGCAGTTCTCTTTCGATGTACCCCTGAATTGCTTTGGAATGATCTTCAACAAAATTTTATTTACATGTGACATTAATGATATTGTTCAATAATTTCTGCATTCTGTTGGATCATCTTTCTTCGGAATGGGCATAAATATGGATATCTTCCAGTTGGTTGGCCAAGGTAGCTGTCTTCCAAATTTCTTAACATGGACGAGTGAGCACTTCCAGCACTGCATCCCTTTATTGAAACATCTCAATTGGTATTCTGTCAATTCCGGAGCCTTGTTTTTCACCAGTGTCTTCAGCGCAGCTTGGACTTCTTACTTCAGTACCATTGGTTCTTGATCATATGTTACCTCCTGAAATGATTGAACTTTGACCAATTCTTTTTGGTACGGTGACTCTATTTCTTCCATCTTCTTTTGATGTTTCTTGCGTAGTTCAGTATTTTCCCCCATAGAATCCTTCAATACTGCCACTCAAGGATTGAATTTTTTATTTAGTTCCTTCAGCCTGATAAATGCCAAGTGTGTTTTCCCCTTTTGGTCTTCAAACTCCAGGTCTTTGCACATGTCATCATAATACCTTACTTTGTCTTCTCGAGCTGCCCTTTGAAATTTTCTGTTTAACTTTTTTACTTCATCCTTAGCTACTTGACGTTCAAGAGCAAGTTTCAGAGTCTCTTCTGACATCCATTTTGGTCTTTTCTTTCCTGTCTTTTCAACAACCTTTTGCTTTCTTCATCTATGATGTCCTGGATATAATCCCACAACTCCTCTGGTCTTCGGTCATTAGTGTTCATTGCATCAAATTTATTCTTGAGATGGCTTCTAAATTCAGGTGGGATATATTTAAGGTCCTATTTTGGCTCTTGTGGACTTGTTTTCATTTTTTCAGCTTACTCTTGAACTGGCATATGGGCAATTGGTGGTCTATTCCTCATTCAGCCTCTGGCCTTGTTTTGACCGATGATATTGAGGTTTTCCATCATCTCTTTCTACAGATGTAGTCGATCTGATTTCTGTGTATTCCACCTGGTGAGGTCCATGTATATAGTCGCCATTTATGTTGTTGAAAGAAGGTATTTGCAGTGAATAAGTTATTGGTCTTACAAAATTCTATCACACAATCTCTAGAGTCATTTCTATCACTAAGGCCATATTTTCCAACTACCAATCCTTCTTTGTTTCCAACTTTTGCATTCCAGTCACCAATAATTATCAATGCATCTTGACTGCATGTTTGATCGATTTCAGACTGCAGAAGTTGGTAAAAATCTTCAATTTATTCATCTTTGGCATTAGTAGTTGGTGCGTAAATTTGAATATATAATAGTCATATTAACTGGTCTTCCTTGTAGGCATAAGGATATTATCCTATCACTGACGGCATTGTACTTCAGGATAGATCTTGAAGTGTTCTTTTTGATGATGAATGTGACAACACTCCTTTTCAATTTGTTATTCCTGGCATAGTAGACCATAAGATTGCCCACTTCAAAATGGCCAATATTAGTCCATTTTAGCGTACTAATGCCTAGGATATAGATCTTCATGTGTTCCATTTCATTTTCGACGACTTCCAATTTTCCTGGATTCATACTTCATACATTCCATGTTCCAATTATTAACAGATGTTTGCAGCTGTTTCTTCTCATTTTGAGTTGTGCCACATCAGCAAATGAAGATCCTCATTCTATATACACTTAATTTTCTAATATCATCTCAATCTGTATTATCGGCATAATTATTAAAAGCAGGTCTTTTCAAAATACATTACACTGTGTATTAACATATTCTTTTAATTTCTCACCCACTCTACGGGACTTAAATAATTTTTTAACAATAATATTGTTGTTGTGATATAGAGTTGATTCCAACACATAGCAACCCTATAGGACAGGGTAGTACTGCCCCAGAGGGTTTTCTAGGCTGTAATCTTTATGGGGAAACCCTTGTGGCATAGTGGTTAAGTGCTACAGATGCTAACCAAAAGGTCAGCAGTTCAAATCCACCAGGCACTCCTTGGAAACCCTATGGGGCAGTTCTACTCAGTTCTATAGGGTCACTATGAGTTGGAATCGACTCAACAGCAATGAGTTGTTTTTTTTTTTTAATCTTTATGGGAGCAGATTGCCAGGTTTTTCTCCCATGGAGCCACTGGGTAGGTTGGAACTGCTGATCTTTCCATAAGCAGCTGAAGGCTTAACCATTGCACCACTAGGGCTCCTAACAGTAGTATTATCTAGGCCAATGCTCCAATACTAAGAAGTCAGCACAGCTGGAAAAGCCGCACATAATAATCTTGAACTGAACTCAAGTGATATCTGTTCACTGATGCCATGTCAATAATACTTGTTTATCAAATACTGAATAAGAAGGAGGTTGACATCTATTCTTCCTTAAGGTACTTACCCTGCCAATAGCTGGTGTGGCTCCATCAGAATTGTTGATCCATATTCCCATTTCCTGTCCAAGGTCATAGGGCTTATAAGTACCTTCTGGTTCATCTTTTGTCAAAAAGGGATGCTGCAAATTTCCATGAACATTGTAATAAAATACAGTATGATAACTGATATGTAAGTGTAAACTTTCCAAAAATATTTAAAATAAGAATCTCTACTATTCATATAAACATTGTGTTTTATATTGCATATATTAAGATGTTCTCACCTTTAAGTATGGTATGAATATAAGAACTATTTCTAATAATTTTTAGTGCTGTAAAATGTGACCCCAAGTGATGTCGATTTAATTTAACAATGCAATCAGCTGCTTCTGATTAAAATCTCTAATTTACTTTACTTGAAAAGTTATCTAAGTGCATAAATCTAATACTGATGCTACTTTAGCATGCAACCTTTCCTATTTGTTTCATTATATATACGAGATAAAGTGTGGACTGATGTAAAATCCTCCTGGATGGAGAAATCAAGACATTTGGATTCTACTCTCAATGCTGCTACAAAAAGCCTAGGTAAGACATTTAATTTTGGGAAAGTCCAAGTTTCTCTTCCAGAAAATGGAGTGTAGTAAGAAACTCTTAAAATTACTGTCCCTAAAATCAATGATTCAAGCAAGAAAAAAGCCAATGATTCTATAATCTGTTTTTTCCACAAATATTTATTGACCTTACCCCAAACTTGTTTCCCTTGCTAAACTTTTTACCATTACATTTATTTTTAAATACTTTTCTTCGTACATTCTTGTTAAATTATCTCAGTTGGGTAACAAATGTATGTTTCTTGATTTAAAATAAGCCATTTGTTTAAAATAAAAAAAAACTCTGACTCCGTAAACCTCAAGCATCGTTAATTAGTTATATAAGAAGTAAGAATTATAACACAGTGATATTTTCTTTCATTACATTAAGATAATAGCAATACAATTATTTTATAAAATTTAAAATCTCTCCTATCTGCAGTGAAACAAGTATCTTATTAAAAACCAACTTTTAGTAACATTCATGTTCCTAGAAGTAGTCATGGAGATCACTTTTAATTATAAATGTATTAAATGAATGATGATGTTGTCTACCAACATGGAGAAAAGTTTCTTTCAGCCTAAGAATCATTGCTTTTTTTTAATAACTATATTATTCTTCATTTAGGATTTTATGGCCAGGTCTTCAAAACTTGACACACAGCGCCATACATGGAAAAACATATTTTTCCTTCTATCTATAAATCAGTTTTCTTTTAGAAAGAATACTGGGTTTTAGAAACTTTAATGAATTCCTCTATCAGTTGTTATGACATTTCTGTAGCATCTAATAATATAACAGCTGCTTATAATTTATTATCCTTTAATAAAATCATGTTACTCCAAAAGAGGATACTGCTGGAAATTCTTCTTTTTGACAAATTAATTGTAATATGTATTTTTAGAAATGCTCAGAAAATATGAATTAAAATATGTTGTCTGATCTTCAAAAGAAATTTACCAAAATAATGACATAATGCATTCCATCGTTTTTTAGTGCCTTAATGTACTCAGGCAGACCAGCAAAGTTAGTTTTATCATATGTGAAGTCCAACTGACGATCCATGTAGTCACTATCACCATGCTGAACATCCTGTACAAAGGAGCAACATAGACATGACCTTCAGACATTGGAAAAACAGACAAATGAATATTGTCAGAGAATCATAAGTTGCTAATAAGTGACTGTATTTAACTTGAAATTTAAATATTGGTCTGAGTTTCAGATTATCCTGTAAGTAAATGAATAAAAATGATTTTTTATTGGAAACTGAGAGGATAATAAAAATGATACCAGTTCCATGCCTGTTTTTATATATGTGTGTATATATATATATATATATATGTTTGTGTATATTTCATGTTACAATATCATTAATACACTTTCTAATTTCCTTGTTCCTCTCAATTTACACCAGAGTGTTTGGGGTAACTTACATGAGGAATATCATACTCTTTTAAACGTTCAACGGTTTTTTGCAGCACTTCTATGTTATTATAGCCCCATCGACTCAGATGAAATCCCAGAGACCAGTATGGAGGCATAAATGGACGTCCAATGGCCTGTAAAAAAGTATTAAATCCAAAAATTTTACTTAAGTGTTCTCACATGTTGATTTTTAGGACTAGATAATGTAATATTTTTGTCAGCAAGCACTTTAAATTTCCCATATTGTGTTCAGCCTGTAACATTGTAAGATGCCCCTGGTAGTAACTAAAGAATTAATAATTTTTTAGAATGTGAGGGCTCAAGATCTCTTTTGAGAATTTAATTAAAGCAATAGAATTTCCTCCCAAAGCAATATACCTACAAAGACAATTCTTCATTCAATTTTATGAATGGGAGGTTGTGCCCCCCAGTCCCTAGTTAATCCACTAGGAGGTAATATAATAGAGGTTTAACGGGCTCCCAAGTCAGATAAACTTGAGTTCACTTCCCAGTTCTGCCTCTTAATATCTGGGACACTAGGAAAATTACTTAATTTTTTGCAGCCTTAGTTTCTTCATCTTTAAAATAGGAGTAAATTATAACACTTAATTCATTCATATACAAGTATTTATTGAATACCCACTCTTCACTGTTTTAGACCCAAGGTCTCTGCCTCATGGAACTTAAATTCTAGTAGAGGAAGACAAATAATAAACATGTAGACAAAGTGACATAATCAAAAAAAAATAGAGTGTGTGGGAGTGAGGGCCAGGGAGGGGGTGGTGAGTAAGACCTGAATATGTCGGCCCTGCAAAGAGTGTACCAGGCAGGGAGAACAGAGGGTGTAAAGGCTTGAAGTGTTCAGGAAGAGCAAGAAGATGAGTCTGGCCAAACTACAACAAACAGAAGGGAAAATGGAATAAAAGTTAAGGGCAGTGGGCGAGTATGCAATCATACAGGACTTTGAAGTCCATGGCAAAGAACTGGAAAGTTTTTATTTGCCCTTTGTTTAAACTTTATATTATGAAAAATTTCAAGCATATATAAAAATAGAGAGGATAGTAGAATAAACCCCCATGTATCCAGAATCAACAATTACCATTTTGCCACACACCTTTATCTATCCATTTTTTCTCTTCTTTTTCCCTCCTTTTATTATTTTTTGAGGGGGGAGGTAGGATGCTATGGCATAAAATTTTAAAACAAATTCCTGACATCATGTAATTTCACCTCTAATGCATTCATAAAAACAAGGACAATCTCATATATAACCAAAATACCATTATCACGCCTAACAAAATTAGCCACAATCCCTTAATATCCTCAAATACTCCAAGTTCCTCTAATTTTCTCAAAGAATTTTTTTCCAGTTGGTTTGTTTGGTAGGAGTATGAATTATATTCAAATTGCAATGGAAGTCATCAAAGTGAGTAATATAATCTGATTTACTTTTTTTTTTAATCCCTCTGACAATTTTCTGGAGAATAAATTACAGGAAGTCAACGGTGATAGCAATGAACCCACTTAGAGGCTGGTGCATTTTCCAAGCAGAAATGAAGAGTGGCTTGAACCAAAGAGGTCACATGATGATGTTAAGAATGGTCAGACTAAAATGCATTTTGGAGATATTGCTGATAGTACTTTCTGATGGATTTGATGTAGTAGGATAATGAAAAGAAGGTAATAGAGGATGACATTTATGTTTTGGAGTTGAAAGACAGGGTGGATGGTGGATCAATTAACTGAAGTTGGGAAGATTGAAGGAGGAGCAAGAGCAGGTTTATGGCAAGACAGCACAGGGGATAAGAAAGAAGTGGATGTATACACTTTGTGGTATCTGCTTATGGATGTATTTAAAGTAATAGGTCCAGAGGAAATGACATAGAGAGTTCCGCTGGAGACCAAAAGAGGACATAGTACTAACCTCAGGGAGACTCAACATTCAAAGGAGGAGAAATCAGCAAAGGAGACTGAAAACAAGCAACTAGTCTTGTAGAAGGACAACCAGGATAATGTTGTGTCAGAGGCATGAAAAGAAGAGAAAAGAGAAGTATTTCAAAAAGAGTGGTCACCTGTGTCAAATGATACTTAGAGACTGAGTTAGATAAGAATCAAGAATCTACCATTGTATCTCTTGACTTTGATAAAACATTTATAGAGAGTGATGAGGCTAAAAGCCCTATTGATTGTCTTGAAAAATGGGAGGTTAGGAAGTGGAGGCAACCATACAGACACTTGTAAAATATTTTACAGAGGAAAGGAGGAGAGAAATGGGGTTAGTAGCTGGAAGAGAGTTGTAGGTTCCTGAGAGGCTATCCTTGTTTAAATTAAGTTTTGTTCAGGTAGGTGCTATTAGGACGTGCTTATTGATGAGAAAGATACCCGTCTCTGGCAGAGAGGAATAAATTGATGATGCAGCTGAGAGCAGAAACAATAGTAGAAGTTCATCCATAACTGAGACTACAGGAAGAATTGTTAGATAAGAGCAAGGACAATAATAACAGGAAGAAAGGTAGTACATATGAGTACGTATGCAGGTAAATTGACAGATTTGATACTGGGAAAACAATGGGGTTCCTTTTTAATTATTTCTACTTTTCTCAGTAAAATAATAAGTCACATCAACAGCTGTAAGTTGGGTGGGGTGGTATAGGAGATTTGAGAAGAGAGACTGTGAAAGAAATAATAACGTCTGTGAGTGGAATTCTAAATACACGAGACTGACATTTACTGGGATGGCAGGCAGTCTAGTGTGCTTGGAGATTAAATTAAAGGGAGATTGCTCACCACAACCACGGAATTGTTTGCCAGAAACGTTCAGCTGCTCAGGTGTGGGCAGTAATTTAATCAATCAATCAGCACAAAGTTCCTATCTGCTGTGTAGAGGAAGGTGGTGTTAAAACCCTGAATAAGTGTGCTGTTCAGATCTGAAGTTGTACTTAAAGTTTCTTCCCATAAAACCCTTGAAGTTGATTCTGTGACTCATCTTTCTCTTTGACCCTAGCATAATGTCTAACACAGAATATACATTCCATAGATGTTATTTATTATATGAGTTAACAAAGAGCAGATGATATCATATGTGTTTTACATAGGGGGATGCTGTGTCAAAAATAGATTTTGTGACTTGCTTGATGTGGTAGGCCATAAAAACATGAAACCGGAACTAATAAGAATCCTGGTTCTCAAACCAGTCTGAATATTAGAATTATGTAGAGAGGTTTTAAAAATATGTCCTTTATCCTGTGCTCACCCCAGAATAATTCAGTCAGAATTCTGAGGATGGGACCCAGGCATCTGTATTTTAAAAGGCTTGTGGATGGTAGGTGCACAGGGAGGTTTGAGAATCACTCTACCAGACTGTGAGCTCTTGGGGAACAGGGACTATGTCTATCCATTGTAACCCCATCTCCAGACCCAGACGATGTCTCATTTTATGTGATCACAAAATATTTATTGGCTGAATCTCGTAACCCTTAGCCAAGTGCCTGTTGTAAAGCACATTTAGTGTTTGTCTCTTTTAAATCTATTTTCTTTCATTCTCACCTTGTAATAAGTGGTGAATGTTTTATTTCCACTCTGTCAATGGCAGAGCAAACAACTCTCCTAAAAGACAGCGAAGAATTCGGAGGAAAAGGAGATAGCCGGGTTACAAGACCTGAGAACAGCGTTAAAGACTGCAAGACACAGCCGTAGAAAGCATAAAATTCAAACTGATGGTCCCATAGTTTTCTCCCTGTGTTTTCTTCCAGGAATTTTATGGTTTTAGGTTTAACATTTAGGTCTTTGATCCATTTTGAGTTAGTTTTTGTGTATGCTGTGAGGTATGGGTCCTGTTTCATTTTTCTGCAGGTGGATATCCAGTTTTGCTATGCTAACTTTTTTTAAAAGAACATGTGAAAAATTTGCAGTGGCACTTACAGAAATACCTAGTGGGAGGAGGGCGCAGTTGGAAAACAAATGCAGAAGGCATGCAATATTTGTGTAAAAATATGGTACTCTTTCTTAGTGGTGGTGAAGTGGTTAAGAGCTATGGCTGCTAACCAAAAGGTTGGCGGTTAAATCCTCCAGCCGCTCCTTGGAAACCCTATGGGGCAGCTCTATTCCATCCTATAGAGTTGCTGTGAGTTGGAACCAACTCAATGGCAACTTTTTTGGGGGGAGGGGGAGGGTTTTGTTAGCATAGAGGAACCCAACTGATTTTTGTAGCCTGCAATATTGCTAGATTCTTCTATTAGTGTCAGCAGTTGTCTTGTGCAACCTTAAGGGTCTTCTATGTATAGGATCATGTCATCCGCAAATATAGTTTTACTTCTTCCTTTCCTATTTGGATATATATATATTTTTATTTATTTCTCTTTCTTGTCTTATTGCTCTGGCTAGGACTGCCAGTACAATGTTGAGTAAGAGTGGTGATAATGGGCATCCTTGTCTCATTCTCATTCTCAGAGGGAAGGATCTCAGCCTTTCTCCACTGAGTATAAAGTTAGCTATTGGTTTTGCATATATGCCCTTAATTATGTTGAGAAATTTCCCTTCTATCTCTATTTTGCTGAGAGTTATTATCAGGAAAGGGTGTTGAATTTTATAGAATGTCTTATCTGTTATCAATTGATATGATCATATGGTTCTTTTGTTTTATTTACGTAGTGGATTACTTTGATTGATTTTCTAATGTTGAACCACCCTTGTCATCCTGGTATGAATCCCACTTGATCATGGTATATGATTTTGTTGATATGTTGCTGAAGTCTGTTGACCAGAATTTTGTTGAAAAATTTTGCATCTATGTTCATAAGGGATATTGGTCTATAATTTTCTTTTTTTGTGCTGTCTTTGCCTTGTTTAGGTATCAGGGTTATGCTGGCTTCATAGAAAGAATCTGGTAGTGTTCCTTCCTCTATGAAGAGATTGAATAGGATTGGTGTCAACTCTTCTCTGAATGTTTGGTAGAATTCTCCAGTGTAGCCATTTGGTCCTAGGCTTTTTTCTGTTGTTGTTGTTAGTTTTTTGATGACCTCTTCAATTTCTTCTTTGTAATGGGTCTGTTTAAATTTTCTACCTTGCTTTGTGTTAGTTTGGGTAGGTAGTGTGTTTCTAGGAATTTCATCTAGGTTCTCAAATTTGTTGGAGT